TTATTTGTGACCCCAAAGATTATGGTGTCATCATTTCAAATGTCAGGAAGGTAGTGCTACTAATAAACTCATGCAAAACAGTTCAAATGAAAAAAATGTAGAGAGATGATTAAAGAAAACTATTTCTACAGGCTCACCACGTTAGTGTGCTTCTATAGGTAAGTTCAAACTTCAAAGACTAGGACACTCTTAGCCTGAACACATTAACATCAAAGCACATTACACCATTGATTATTACTGCAAATAGTGACAAAAACTCTGCCTACTAATCAAAAGAAACTCTCTCCATTGTTCATGTGATGCTACAACTTGTCTTCTGAATTGTTGTAAAATACAATTGCTGTAGTAAACAACACTGTTAAGCCCTGAACCAAATTTACCAGCTAGTACAAGTACGCTGTGTAGACCCTATACACATGCAAGCTGTCAAACATAGATGTTTATAGATATACTGCATATATTATTGGTACCATATATTATTAGTAGCATAACAAAAGTGACTAGAGTTATCTCACGAGTGACGACAACGACATGTACATGATTCAAAATATCTCGGTTTCAACTGCCAGGCCGTCGGAACTCGGAACCAGTGGACACTAACCTCAGTACTTTTATCACTCCAAGCTGCTTTGATGAGTAGCCGAACCTCAAAAAAACAAAGTACTAGTAAACTAGACTTAGCTGCTACTAGTAGATAGTTACTCAGTACTCACCAAGTTGAAAAAAAAAATCTGAAACAATGAAACGAACTGGAAGGATCATAGAAGGACGTATTGGATTTGGATCCGATGGCTCTAGGCACAAAATAAACTCTCAGAAATAGTCGACCCAGAAAATATATGGAGATAGGGTGCCAAATCTGGTAACAAGGACCGGAAGAAAAGCAGATGGATGGGGTGCCAAATCTGATAACTGGAGCAGCCAAAGAAACAATCCTGGGAGACCCCCAAGGAGACCGGATGAGAGGGGTCTACCTCCACCAAGACAACGGTTTGAACTAACAATAGAGGAGAAGAACATTCTTCTAGAAGTTGAACCCATAATATTCCGTGTGAGAAGTTGAGTAATCTTGAGTGGTTTGTCACATGAATGCAATAACGAGCTAACATGGTAGAATGGGCAAGTTTTCTTATATGAGAAAGATGTCTAAAAATATCTCAGAGACCAAAATAATAATAAGATAATGCAAAGGAATGATCAGCTTATATACTAGCACAGATCAGCTTATATACTAGCACAGTAGTAGTGATGATATCTCAAAATAATAATAAGAAGAAAAAAAAGTCACGAAAGCGCATGGCATGTAGCCCACGTACACAAAATACCAATAATAAGATGGTGATCAAATGATGTAGTATTCAACACATTGGCCTCGAGATATCGATTTGCTCCTCGGTTGACCTTGAGCTTGGAGCATAAGAAACAAACAGAGTAAGAAACAAAGTTCCAGAGACCTCAACACAAGCTCAAGGTCATCGATTCTTGGCATGCTTAATATGATATCATCATTGGCAAAGTAAGTGAGGCCTCAAACTTAACGATATGTTGGTACAATTTCTAGATACTCAATCATAGGTGGCTGCCAAGGCAAAAAAAAAAAAAAGATAGAAGAAAACTAAGATCATGTCCCATGGTTTGATGACGATCATGAGAATCATCTGAGAATGCACAAAAACAAATTGCAGCCCACCTCGAGTTTATTTTTCATGTTGCATCATTGGCCAAATAGATATCAAGAGTTTGAACATCACAGTCATATCAAGAGATTGAACATCGATGTCATAAATTCTAGATGCTTCAAAGACAAAGAACCCTCACTAGATCTAGAATTAGAGCTATGGACTTAAGCAAGACGCTGCTACCACACCATAGGGTGCTCCTCCAGCGCCTAGGGTCATCGACCAAGGCACTTTGCTCAGTTTGTAAATTGGACTAGGCATCATCATGTGCAAAATCTAGGCGACAAATGCTTAGATTTCTGAAAGCAGTTGTCATCATATTTACTACAAGGCATTGAGATAAAGCAACTGTCAATGGGAGGAGCAGCCAAGCACTTACAAACGGAAGAAGACAAAAGTTCCAGCCAAAATTTTACGGAAGAAATACTACAAGACAAAGGACCATCTCCGAAATTTTACCATTATCAAGAGCAAAAGAACTCGAGAAATGGCTCAGATTTACCCATTATCACCTTACAACCGCAACTTAATTTCACCGGAGCTTAATTTAATTCTCTCTAATGGGAATTGAATCGCCACAGAATCGGTTGCTTGTCTTTGGTACAAGCCATCCTAGTTAAGCAACAAACAAAACAAAATATCCCAAGTACCAGCTCATAAGGTGCTAAAGTGCAGAAGTTCTCTAATGGAAACTTGATTCATCACAGCCACTCAAGAGTAGTACAAAACAAAAAAAATCACAAGGCATAGTTAGGGAAGGGGAGAGCAACAAGACGCAGAGACTAGGGTTCCATATCATCTCAGCTCCGCAAATATCACATATCAAAATGATTGATTAGGTTGATACATGCAAGATATTCAAGATAATTGTTTTTCATAGCATCTCCAAGCTGCAGGATGCACCCCAATTTTAGTCCCTAAAGCTGAAATATTTTTGAACGTGTCAATCAGAGAAGCAATTCAATATGTAGTAACATACATGAGGTGCTATACTAGTCAACGCTTTCACAAAAATATCCAAATTATTGCTAAGAAATAAGACATTGTTTCAATCAGAGAGCGAGAGTAATCATAATGCATGGTCTGAATTTTTAGACGCAAGCAACATATACATAATCTGTATTTTCAATTCTACTACGAACCACATATCAATCTCACTAGATCTCTTTTAATTTAATTCTAACACAACCAGACATGACATAGAAATTAATTTTTACTAAATATACAAATGTTACTACCGCTAGTCATCATATAAATTCACAGGTCTTATCCTTACTGGCACTTAAAGGCACTGGAATCACCAACCCACAAACTGAAATAAGTACAAACATTTCTAGTGGTCAGACTGCTGCTTGTGCCAACATGCTTGTGCCCCCAAGCCGCGCCGGATCGCACCGCATATTAAATTCAGATGCTACCAACTCAAGATAGTGTCTGATAGCAACTACCAACTCAAGATAGAGCTGTTCACTTAAATCATTTGGGTCATCTCATATTGGCAAATTCCCTGAATGCCTAGTATGTCTGGCTGGGTTCACCAATACCATCTTTGTTGACTACAATCACATAGTGTGCTCTATCTGTTGCCTATAGATTGTTGACTACAAAAATAATTTAATATTGCACCTAGTAGGCACTTAAAATAGAGAAGACAAAACAGCATGAACATCAACTAAGAGCAAAAATGAAGTGCACAGAGTAATCTTACATGTCACTTTCATCTTCCTTAAGCATAACAGAGTAATCTTACATGTATTGCTCTGGTAAAAAATCAGTACTAGTTATATTAACAAAATTCAATCCACATCCTACGGCATACACATGGGATTAGATCAGATCTGTTCTGAATACACATAACCAAATAGCTTACATTAGGGTTCGTTCTCAAATTTGCACAAAAGGGAAGAGAAGGAACATGCATACCTGGCTTGTGTTGTGGGTGCTTGTCGTTGGCAAAGGGCTCACCTCTCCACTCGGAAGGAGGGAGGCACTTTCGGAGCCGCAAATCGCCTGATGATGTGGTTGCGCTTTGAGCTGCAGATCTGGACGCCGGACCGAGAAGGGCTCTAGATCCACCATGCTCGAGAGGGCCCGCACGCCGTGAGGGCTATGCTCGGGAGGATAAGAGGCCACCGCCACGCCCTTGTTGGCCGATCCGAGAGAGGGAGGGCCAGATCTGGTCGGGTTAAGAAGGGGAGGGAGGGCACCCGCCGGGAAGAAGGGGAGGAAGGGGCGCCACGGGGAGAAGAAGGGGAGGCGCAGATCGGCTCGGTCGGCAGCCGGATCCAGCCGCTGAAGCGCCCGCCATGGATTTGGCGGATCCGGGGTGAAGGAGAGGGCTTACGCCGCTGGTCGATGAAGAGGGAGAGGAGGAGAAGGAGTGGCGGGCGCCGCTCGGGAGGGGAGGGGTGGCTTGCGCTTGCTCGGGAGGGAGGGCGCGCGTTGAGTCGCAGAGGGGAGGGGCGACTGAAAAGGAGAGAGAGTGAGGAGGGTGCGGTCTAGTGCGTGCGTGAGAGGGTGTTTGAGGCGCGGCGTGATGTAGTCGTGGTTAGGATTTTTCTGCGTGTACATATTTTTTTTTCATGCGTTTTTAAAGAACCGATGTAATAAATTGTATTTTTTCAGGTGTTTATTTTTTCGTGTATTGTCACGCATGTAAAAATTATGCGATTTTTTCTGTGGGTTTTAGTATTTTTCTGTCGGGATATTTTGGAACCGACAGAAAAATCGTAATTTTTCTGTGCGTACCGAAAAAAACGCACAGAAAAATTTATCACCCACAGAAAAATGCGAGATTCCAGTAGTGAATATCTTATATGGACATAAGTGTGTGTGTGGTGCAGTGGTCAGAGGAGGGAACGCGCAAGGCTGAGGTCGTGGGTTTGAACTCCGGTGGCCGCGAAGCGTGTGTTTTTCGTATAAAAATCGCTTGACTTGTGATTTCTAGGCGTAAATTGGGTTAAGCATGCGCTCGTAGGCCTAATCCAATGGTACCGCCGGATCCAAATAATAAGATTTATCGACCGACTGTCTAATGGAAAGCCAAAATGAAAAAATACCGACCAATCTTCGGATGAAAAAATAAGACATTGCGACCAACCGTCTGTTAGTAAGTTATACCGATTGATAATCCAGCTACATTTTGATACTTTTACCGATCATGTCTGATGTTAATTTTAGGCTGTGGTACAGTGGACAGTGGTCCTAGAATTTTCGAACGGGTGAAGTAATATATATCTCTTGCTATCGATCGATACTGAGCTACATTCTAGCTCAATAATGCCATTATTATTATTATTATCTGAAAAAAACTCAATGATGTCATGAATTCCCTGCAAGGTACAAGACAGTGTTCCAGGTGTCTGGGACGCCAGCGACGCACCAGTGGGTGCAGTCACGGCCGAGGCTGTCGCCGTTGTATTTGGTGGTGTGGCCGTCCTTCCTCAGTTCGGACATGAAGGTGATGTCGAGCAGGTGCACCGGCTTCGCCATGCCCGCCAGGGTCCTTCTCACGATCGCGTCTTGCGGGTTGGGCTGGCCGTGGTACGCCGCGGCGTTGTTTAGCGGCTGCGTCTCCCCAATGCACGTCTTACCCGGCGGCTCTCCCCATTCTTGGCTACTGCAAGGTAGTCACGCCTTGTTAGCTCATTCCACACTCGCAGCCTCAAGTGTTGCGAATTGTGCAACCTCTATGTATATAAAAATTTTCTAAAATTGAATGTAAACTCTTGAGTGGAGGGAGTAATTTTATCTGGTAAATAAACGGTCTAGTATTTGCTATAGCACGGTGTGTGCAGAAAAATCTTTTTCTTACTCGAGGTGATTGGGCGAGTATCCCTGGAAGAAGACTCTTGTACTGGTCTGGGCGAGGTTGGCGTCGACCCATCTAGCCCACGTTTGCAGGCCCTTGGTGAAGGCCTGGGTCCGGTCCATGTCCTGCACGACCGTGTTGCCGTCTTGGATGTAATCCCAACTGCACCAAATTAAACAAAATAATACGCACACAAAGTGCGAGTTCAGAAGTGGAGGGACGGACAATGGGGCAAGAAACCAAGCCAAGGAGAACGATGGAGCGAGCTGCCACCTCTTGCGCCACCACCAACGCCACGAGCCAAAGACGAGCACGTCGGCGCCGAGCCACGCGCGGCCTTCGTCCATTCCGTCGAGCTTCAGGACGGTACGCCCGGCTGTGTCGTTGGCGAGGTCGACCAGGTAATGCGACAAGAAGTACACCAGAGTCACACCGTAGTCCTGCAAGAGTCGTCTATCATTCGTCATCTGATGATACAGTTGTCTACTTCACATGCTTTTCAACTCTAAATAAACCATTCGTTTTTAATTTATTATCACAGCTGGATTAGAATCCGACAACTCATATTCACCTGAGCACCCTTGATGGATCTCATCGACGTCCCTTGGTGGGGGGATGACGATGAGATCCATCAACGCAATATCGTGTTAACTAAGGTGTAATCTAGCTATATAGAGAGATAATGCTACAACTTTGATACCTCACAATGACAAGAGACATTGATGGGATCCATCAATATATGCAAAACGATATGTTGAAGTGAAGTGTACAAGACAATATAAAGTATTATATCGAGCTTGGTCCCATGTATATAGCTGGTGGTCAGGGCGTTAACTAACCAACAGAGAGAGGTATAACAAGCACTCATGGTGGAACAAATAATGCTGATGACAAGAAATAGTAATGAAGCCATTAATTTTAGAGTAGGAAGACAGTAAAAAACACATAAGAAAAGAAAGCTAAGTTGCATAAAATTGATGGATATACTAATCCTGCAATTGTGCTAATCACCTTTTTTTAGTTGTATTAAACAACACGTACATACATGCTACTTTTATAAATTATATTAACCATGGCAACGCACGGCTATGCTAGTAGGTCCTATTTGGATTCATAGAGATAATAGTTAGCTGCTAATAATTAGCTCTTTGGATTTAAACATGTCTAGCTAATTATTAGCTAAATACTTGACTAACACTACAGGAATTCATAGGTTTGCCGTGTGCCCACGGCATACGGCGAAGGCAAAAAAAAAACACTTGGCAAAGCGGCAAATGGCACTCGGCAAAAATAAACTCGGCAAAGCTGTCTTTGCCGAGTGTTTTTTGTCGAGCACTCGGCAAAGACATTGTCGAATGCTAAACCGACACTCGGCAAAAAATATTTCAAAAAATATAGAAAAAAACCCATCTGAAGCCCGAGCACCATCAGGAGCAGTGATTCCCCGTAATTCTCCAATAACTGCTGATATTAAACAAATTGAAGATGGAATCAAGAACAGTGATGCAGAGGGGATTTAGTCCGCTCACAGGCGGATAGGGAAAGTGGGACGACCGTCCTAGGTGGGGCGAGGTCGCCGGTGCCGAAACTGATGGGTCATCTTGACTGCGGCCAGGGCGACGGCGAGTTGATGGGAACCGTGGAGGAAGACCGCGCTGGGTAGAGGCAGCGAGGCGAGTTGCGGTGCAAGCCCAGAGGCGGCAGCTGGCGTGCGAGGTCGCCCGTGCGGAGCTCCGCTACGTGCGCCAGCGAGTAGCCCTGATGCGAATCGAGGATTCGTGAGGGAGAGATGAAGACGGGTACGGGAGATCGTGAGGGAGAGATGAAGACGGATCGCCGCCGCACACGCTTGACGGCACACCGGTGGTCGGCGTCATCGCCATCGCCCGCCACGCCGCCATCCCCATCCCCACCCCACCCACCGCGCCGTAGGTCCGCGCGTCCACGCTCGCCCGCCGCCTGCCCGTTTCGCCCAGTAGCGGCCCATGGCGGCGCCACAAATCTGCCGTGTCGTCGGCCCGCCGCGTCGTGCTACTCGCCACGCCGCCCTTACACCAATTGGCCAGCCGCCATGACCAGGCCCAAGCACAAGGCGCATGCACGCCACACCAAGCCTAGCGCTATGCCTCATCATCACATCACGGGAAAAGGGAAGTTGAGGAGGCCGCGTGTTTTGGATAAGGGACGGGAGAGGGAGGGTTGACTTTTATAAGGCGCCCAGTTTGCCGAGTGTCGAATCTAGGACGCTCGGCAAAGCTAAGTTTGCCGAGTGTCAGATCACGGCACTCGTCAAACTTATTTTTGCCGAGTGTCTGCACTCGGCAAACTTTTTTCCCCATTTCCTTCTTTTCCAAACCTTGTCTTCTCCTTCCCGATGTTCTTTGAAAATACCTTGTCAAATTAACTCAACAACATATATATGATTTTTCTACGAATATTACTCTATTATTTTATGCAGTTACAGCTCAAATTTAATTTATATCAATTAAAATTCTATAATTGCACTTAATAAATTAAAATTATCAAACAGATCAAAAAAATTATCAAAAATTCACATAAAACAATCTATGTTCTTTATTGGCTATACAAAAAGTTTTGAAGTCAAATCTCAATTTCACCGTCACTTTGACTCCAAATTTTACCGAATTCTTCTCAACACTACGATTCTTCTTCTGAGATGCTTCGATTTGTAAACATCGTACGTGACAAATTATGCGAAACCTTCTCAATTTTTTATCACAGCGTTCACATATGATATCATCATATCATGACAAATCTCATGATTTTTAGACTTCATTTGCTTTTTTTAGAATTTAAAAATCATTCGGCCACACATTCGTGGTCGTGTGTTTCTGAACAAGATGTTCGAAATTTCTTTTCATTTTCCGGGTAAGGCTTCACACTAGATTCAATAACATGGATATCATTTTTCTACTTATTTTATTCTATTATTTGAATCACTTGCAGTTCAAATTTGACTTATAAAAAAAATCCTAGAAATGTAATAAATTAATTAAATATATCAAAAAGATCCAGAAATATACCAAATTTTAACATGGAATACCACATGTTCTATGTGAAGAGTAGAAAAAGTTTCAAGGTCAGAAAAGAAAAAAAAATATTTGCCGAGTGCTAAATAATTACACTCGACAAATATATTTTTTTGCCGAGTACCAAATAATTACGCTCGGCAAAGATATTTTTTTTGCCGAGTGCCTAGCTTTGTCGAGTGTTTTTTTTCTGGGTTGCCGAGTGCCAGGCTTTGCCGAGTGTTTTTTTAGCTCTTTTGTCGAGTGCAATTATTTTACCGAGTGTTTTTGTGGCAGCATTTGGCAAGGAGCTTCTTTGCCGAGTGTCCGATAGGATGCACTCGGCAAAGATTCTTGCACTCGGTAAACTAAGGGTTTCCGGTAGTGTAATAACTATTTCACTAGTTAGACCAAACTAGCTAATAGCAGCTAATATTAGTTATGAACTATTAACTAGCTAACTATTTATTATCAGATAATAGATCCAAACACGACCTAACATACAATAGATTACACATCACCATTTTGTGGCCGTGAATCATTATACTTGCTCGAGTAAACAATGGAGCTTTTTTTATAGGATTGGAAGGCGCTTCTAATAGTCCGCTGCACGGCTGCACCGATGGAATGCATGGGTGCTTTGCCGTGGCATCGGTTTAACTACCACCGAGTGGTGCTCTGTATAATTTCCCAGTTAGTTACTATTCAACATATGCACATGCATCCTACGGGTCGGTTTGTTGTGGAACAAAAACTATGGTCTAGGTCAAACCACTAGTTTCATATCACTTCCACTCCTGACGAGCTGACTGGTAGGTTTTCTATATATGGAACAAAAATATGGTTTGTTATATGGAGCACCTCTCTGATGACGAGCTGACACAAACTCATTTTGAATGCTTAGTACCATGTGCACGAATCACGATCAAGCTTGTCTTCTGACACAAGAGTAAACCTGCTGTCTGTAGGAGTGTTAGATCCCAAACTCAAGGCGACAGGTTTTACATGTACGTACGTATGACTTTTGAAGTGCGCGGCCAGCCTAGCTGCACGTGAGCATCGAATCGTCGATCGGCAAACAGCACGGCAGCTCGATCCGCTCACCCCGTCAACAATAGCAGACACTCGCAGTAGCAGATCTAGTAATGGAACTTAGCTTCGTCCAGCTAACCACAACAAGCAACATGGACAAAAACCGAGGACAAACTGGCGGATCGGATGACAAATATCGATGCTGAATATAAGGACAGAGAAACCGATGCAACCCACTGCATGGGCCGATGCTAGAAAAAAAAACTCAGCTTGAGAGGCTTGTCGTAGCATCGGTGCTGGAGTGAATAAAAAAACTATTTCATGGGCTGTTACAGTCTCGATCCCATTGTAGCCAGTCTAAGTCACACGGTAGATTTATCAAACATGGATATTTAAGTAGCTTTTTTTAACATAGAAATTTTAAGTAGTTTGAATGGGAAACTATTAGAGATGACCCATCCCCCCCCCCCTTTTTTTTTTGTCAAAATCCCGTTTTTAGAAGTTGAATTAAGTAGCTCTTTATCATGTGCATGCATGCTCTTAGTTTCCTTTTATTTTTCTAATACGGAGGAAAGAGCCAGAGGTGAAATAATGGGGGAATGATGACAGAAGAAGGAAAGCTGCGGTGGCAATATTCTGCAGGCAGTAGTCGCCAATAGCGGGGACGGCATCAAGCAGGCAACCAACCTCACCAGACAATATTAATTAATGAACTTTACTAGAACGTGCGCGTGTACAAAATCCAATTTCCGGCTGCACACTCTAATTTGGAAAAGAAATTATTTTTGTTGCCAAAAAAGGAGAAAAAAAACAGACCAGAGCTAGGGTTTGCCGACTCCGACACCCTCGCCCCCGCCACTACCCCACCGCGGGCGCTAGAGCTCCGGCGAGCTAAGGCCGCCCACGGCAGCCGCCCTCTTCCCCTCCCCCCGTCGCCGCCCTCTTCTCTAGCTCCAACGAGCTCGCCCGCCGCCAATATCTCCAGCTCAAGCGAGCCTCCCCTGCACTGACCTGGCCCGACCGCCGCCGGCTCCCCTAAGCCGCCCATCGACCATCCTCATCGCCTGGCCTACTTGTCCAAACCCCCGACCGGAACCCTAGAAAGCGAGACCAGGAGGAGAGAGGAGGAGGAGGAGGAGCCGCTAGATCCGGTAGATCCACCGCCGCCATGGAGGCGCGGTCGCGGGCTCTAGAGAGGCTGTCGCCAGGAGAGAGAGAGAGAGAGAGAGAGAGAGAGGTGGAAGACGAGGCTGTGCGGGCGTGAGTGGGGAGGGAGCTGTACGTGCGGTGTGCACTCCGCATAGCGCGAGCGTGCACGCTCAAAGTAGTATTTAGGTTGTTGTAAAAAAAGTACTCCCTCCATCCTAAATTGTAAGACGTTTGACTTTTTTGGCACCAAGTTTGACCACTCGTCTTATTCAAAAAAATTATGCAAATATAGTCAAATTTAAGTCATTCTTGAAGAATTTTTTATTAATAAACCAAACCACGACGAAAGAAGTGATATTTTACACAAATTTTTGAATAAGACGAGTGGTCAAACTTGGTGTCAAAAAAGTCAAACGTCTTATAATTTGGGATGGATTGAGTAGTATTTAGGTTAATTAATAATAAAATTCTGCGCATACTGAAAGTCAACAACGGAACAGCCCATGATGACGATCCGAGGGAATCACGGCACACTAGCACGAAGAACGTACCTCGAAACGCACTGTGGTGGAGGGGTTCTCCCCCGACGCCCACGACTGGTTGGTCCGTGCGCCGGGCGCGGCGGCGTGCAGCATACACAGCAGCGACTCGTACTGGTTCACCACCAGCGAGTCGCCCACGAACATAACCTTCTTCCCGCGCCACATGTTGAGCAGCTTCACGCCGTCGAACCTACGTACACACAAGCAAAGAACCAGCTGGAACTATGCTCAAAAGGCTATGCGGACGGCGGCGTGATCGAGAGTTCAGAACAGATCACGAACCTTGGCAAGGAGCACGGCGGGTTGGGATGCCACCGGTACTTGAGGTACATCGTGTCGGGGCGGCCCATGCGGCGGCAGTCGAACTCCTTGCGGACGAAGGGGCAGCTCGCCGCGTCGTACAGCGGGTACGACTCGTCCACTACCCAGCTGCCCCTGTACACGTCGCACGACGACGAGCCGCCGGCCGCCTGGGGCTGCAGCTTCTCATGCTTCCGACGGATGGCGGCTTTCTTCCCGGCGGCCGTGGCGGTGCAGGCGGCGGCCAGCACGAGGATGGTCGCCAAGAGCAAGTCCCGCCGCTTCATCCTCCAGTTTCCCAGATAGGAGGTGAAGAGGTGGAGTTGGAATAATGGAGGGGCTGCGGGGCTTGGAGTGGATCGAAGCCCGGAGGTCTTCTCTCGCTCTTCTTCTTTATATATACTAGCTGTAGTACTTGGCGTGCTGCCAACTTGGCTATGCATTCTATTACAGGTTACAGCATGTCCAAAATACTCTTTATACCTTTATATATTTCCTAATATGCAGGAACAGAGATTTTGTTAAAAAAACAAACCCTCCAACAACCTCGATATGCAAATATAGTATCCTCTATTCTGGATTTCTCGCTAACCAAATATGGAGAGAAAGGGTGGCTCTCCACACAAGATATAGAAAAGCTCTTGAAAAATATAAAGATATAGAAAATAATTTTTACACAAATTTCTCAATAATGTTGATTTAGAGAGTAGACTTTAAAAAGGCTCTCGAAGATACTCTTATGCTAAGCAGCGGACGATCTAGTGGTTAATTATCTCACTGTGGGTAGGCAACCCAGTAGAGAACCGTCATACTATTTGTAGGGGCGAAATCGGTCATATATTTATCGATAATGATACTGTGCGGGCGTCCGTACCGTCCTGACAGACCAGCACAGGAACGACTCGACCGAGGCCGTGACCCCTCGCTCCCATCCATCCTGTGACCCCCCGCGCCCACTTGCTCGGTCTGCTCGCCCGCTCTTCCCCACGCTCTCAACACCCACTCGCTACCGCGCGCGTGCAGGTCGCTGCCGCCATTCCCTCCCTCCCTCCCTCCCTCCCCTCTGCGACCTCCATGTCGCGCGCCGTTCTCCGGGCTGCCCTGGGATGGACGCCGCGCCCGTGCAGGTCACCGCCGCCGCAACTCCCTCCCTCCCTCCCTCTGCGACCTCCATGCGACCCCCACTGGAGACGAGGGCAACAGCGGCAACTCTGGCGAGGTACGTCTAGATCTGAGCCTCCTCCTCCTCCTCTGGATCTGAGGGATGCGGCGGTGGCTAGGGTTCCGACGAGCTCTGTTGCAGTAGCCTGGTTATGCTGTTGCAATAAATAATATTTCTTTGTTGCATTAGTCTCTTTTTTTTCCTGATGTTACATCTCGCATTGCAGTAGCCTTGTTCTGATGTTGCAACAAGTAATATTTTTTTGTTGCATTAGTCTTTTTTCTTGATGTTGTTTTTCTCGCATTGTGTTTTGTTCTGTTGTTGCAGTAGCCTTGTTCTGATGTTGCAACAAATAATATTTCTTTGTTTCATTAGTCTCTTTTTTCTGATCTTGCATCTCGCATTGTAGTAGCTTTGTTCTATTGTTGCAGTCGCCTTGTTCTGATGTTGCAGTAAACTTGTTTTGATGTTGCAAACAAATAATACTTCTGATGTTTGCATCTCGCATTGCTACGTGTTGCAAGGTGATGGAGCATGGTGGGGATGGGGCGTGGAGGGCAGCGGGCGTGCAGGGGATGGCGACACGGCGGGGGATGGCGATGCAACGAGGCACGGCGGCGCAGCGGTGGACGGGCCGCACGCGGTGGCACGCTCGTTCTATTCGCATCGGATAGGTGGTCACGTGGGACGCGGCGGGAGGTGCGGCGGGAGGACGAGCCACGATCGGGATCGAAACGTTATGTGGACTGGTGCGTCCGGACGAACCCCTGAAGCCGGGCGTCTGGGCACTAGTTGCGTCCTATATTTATGTACTCCATATATTATATGTAGCTAGCTCAAATTTGCATCATCTCATTAGAATATGACACAGAAGAGGTGTTCTCTACGCTTTCATCTAATAATAAATGGTTCCCCAAGTAAATATTAGTCCCTATTCCAAATATTAGTCCCGCCGCTTCATCATCCTCCTTCAGTTTCCCAAATAGGAGGTGAAGAGGTGGAGGAGCTGCCGGGCTTGAGTGGATCGAAGCCAGAAGGTCTTCTCTCTTCTTTATATATATATGTGTTGCTACGGGACAGCTAAACTTTTATATAAAAATACACGGATCGAACGATAAGATAACAATACTGTAAAAATAAATACCGACGTTAAAGTGATATTTAATCCAAAAAGCAAAGTTTGTGATATTAACAATCACGGAGAGCGCAACGTAACTCTACTGTATAGACCTTTCCATAATACGGCTAAGATAATATTTTATATCAGCAATATTCAGGTGCAATTTAAAAGCACCAAAAGATATCACAAACTGATACGGTCTAATTACATTGTAACTCCACTACTTACTATACAACCACATATATATTTAAAAATATATATACTAACTTCTAAAATTATTTTTGACTAAATTGATCTGTAGTTTCTTGAAACACTAAAATGATGGCAACCACTGTATACCCCTCCAGCCGTCATGGAGCCTACATTTTGCATGTGCTGAGGTGAACGGCAATGTGCAATCGGTTCCATCTTCGACCACTCAGAGTCAATGCTCATTTGAAACCGGCTATATCATTCTCACAATTTCCTCTCAACCAGATCAACATTCGTCAAGCCATGATGGCAACACGTGATTCAATATATCAGTTTCCTCTAGGCTATTCTTGCCCATGCTCTTGTTATATATCCAACTTTTCCATTTTTATTGCTCTATTATCTTTTTTTTTTCTCCAAGCAAATTGACCGGGCGTGGCGGGGGTCCGAGGATCCCACCGCCAAGCACCTGGTGATCTTGAGGCTGGTGGTGCCCGCGGGGCAGATTGCCGTCCACCGCGGACAGGCGCGGTGACGGGTGGGGCGCCGAGTTCAAGTCGAACCCCGTCGGATGAGGCGGAGGAGGCGCGTGCGGGTGAGGTAGCGGTAGCAGAGGGGCGACCGATGCTGCTCCAATCGCGTGATTCGCGTCGTCGCAGAATCGATCCGCTCCGTCACGCTCGTCGTCTTCTCGAGCAAAACTCCGAATGACTCGTCCGCAGTCAATCTCCAGGCCTCCATCCCTCTCCACATGTCGAGGGATTCCCGCATCATCTCCTGGAATCCTTAGAATTGAGTGGATAACTTGTGAAACTTCGTGGTGAGTTCTTCAAGGGATTGTGCCATCTCTTGCTGTATCTTCGAAGGCTACCGCTTCGGTGCCAGGACGACTCGACGACAGCAAAAGGATCACCGCCGTTGCTACTGTCTCTGATACCAATTGTCAAGGACCCGGATCAAGATCCTGGCGTGAACTGGAACTGGATAGGATTCAGGATAAGAAGGAGCAAGAACAGGGGGGTTAGGCAGGAACAGAGTATTCAGGAAGAACAAGATATTTCAGAGTTCTGGATTCATTCATTCGATGGTTCATTCAGTTATAGGCAACGACCTTTTATACACTACTGGCCCATCAGGCCCACTTGACAGCTCACGCTTACAACTAATCAACCGACAATAGCTTGACCGCTACAGCAACAGTCCGGCCTCGCCTACTCACCCCACCTTGCGGGTCTTCCTTCTGTACGTGATAATAAGGCACAGAAGTTGCTTGCTAATGATAGAATCTAGCTAGTCACAAAAACTCAGAGAAACAATATCAATACAAGTTTTGGGAGAAATCTGTTCACTGAAAACAGTAGCAGTTAACATATAACAAGGTTGCACAAAAATGATCCAGATGCATTGACATCTACATCTCCACCTCTAACCCATGCGCACAAACAGGCAGAGTTGTAGCAAGAGCAAGCTGATGTTTGGGAGCCTATTAATTTCAGCAAAGCTCAAGTAACAAGGCTCCCGAAGAAATAGCACTTTGCATTTACCTTTTTCATGTACAGCTCAATGACATTGCACAAGTCAGTGTGTGGTTTGTAGTTGTCGAAGAAGGTTCCCTTCAGGGCCCTCTCATTCAGCAAGTTCATTGGGTGAGTCTTGAATTCAGCATCCTTGTGTGGCACACCCACCAGGCCACCAGCACAGTAACACCCCAGCCCTGGATTTAGATCTAGTAGAGATGTTGAATAAAATTTAATCTAAATAGAACAGATTTATAATGAAAAATCATATCATAGAACTCAACTTCATGTAAACTTATTTAATGCAAATTTGTATGGCTCAGTTAAGTACACCACTCTAATCCACAACACTGGATGGTCCATCTGGGCAGTGAGCACTTGAGCAGGGACTCATTTGTACAAACATGTTGTAAGCAGTGGCCATGTAGATCTGGGCTGTGGCGGCAGCTTGGATCAGAAATCAATAGGCTCCCACTTTTACAATTTTACATCCCTCGTCTCACACAACGACCACAAAATAAGTCAAACATCTAAACCAAGTCTTTTGAGGAGGCACCTTCTGAATTGTCCAACATCATCTTGACACACTTGCAATTCAAGGAAGAAACGAACTGGCTATCAAAACACCGCAAGAAAGCCGCTAGATAACGGCCAAGCTGGAGAGCGAACGGTGCAGCGGCACCTGCCGTGGTCGACGCTGGGGATCTCAGTCGTGACAAGTAATGACGCCTACCCTGTGATTGACCACCGACTCAGGTGCCTGCACTCCAGTCCGGGGGCTCGTTGCTGGAGTCGCTCGGCCTGTCGAGCCCCATCCACTGCAACTGCGACGGGTGACGGGCTAGGGCAGCCATGCCGCGCGACGGCGAGGACGACGGATTGAAATTGGAAGCCGACGGTCGAGTGCGGGGGCAGTCGTAGCTCTGCCGCTCGTCGATGAAGAAGCTCTTGGCGTCCCGGCACGTACTAATGCGGTGCCGCGGAGCATGGAGGAGTACACGGCGACGGACATACCGAAGGTTGCGGTGGCGTCGATGGAGACGTCGTGCCACTGCCAGCCGGTGGAGACTCTCACCAGGATGTACTCCACGGCCGCTGCGTCGTCCTCGGACGACCGTCGCTTCTGCACCAGCATCCCGCCGGCCGGGCCGCACCTCCCACTCGATCTTCTCGTGCTCGGCGACCATGGCGCAGATGTCCGCGCTGCCGCCGCTGATGGTGGTGCTCCTGGACCGGCTCCTGAATAGCCTCTTGGGGCTCGGAATCTTCACCATCTCCGCGCCGCCGCCGCTGATGGTGGCGATCAAAACACCGCGAACTCGATCTGCTAATCTTTGGTCGACGTCGTTGTGCTTTCTATGACCGGGAACTCCTTTCGCCAGAGACTTCTTATCCTTTCCCTCTCTCGCATGTTTGTAACCCCTACTACAAACTTTCAGTGCTAGTAACACGAGCAGCAGTGATGAACTAAAGGTAGGGACTTTCTGCCCAAACCAGTATAAACTCCGTGTCCTCTAAACACACCATCCGAGTCAGACGCGCAAATACAAATTTACTCGACGGTGGTCCGAAAACACCGACACACAAATCGCAGGCTTTTCATGCGATGGTTGATGTATGTGGTCTTTATGACATGGGTTTTGAGGGCCGCAGCTGGACCTTTGAGAAGAAGGTGGCGGGTGGATCATACATTTATGTGCGTATGGATCGTGTTGTCTTTAGCAGATTAGAGTATCATGTCCCCTGCAGATTTGATGAAACGCCTCTCATCGGCTGCCTCAGACCATGTTCATATCTTGTTGTAGTGGAATTAGAGAAGGGCACAACAACGTCGCAAGGGACGCTTTAGATATGAGATGATGTGGGAGACCCATCAGGATTTTCTCGGATATGATATCACAAGCATGGAAGAATGGGGGCAACGCGACATCACTGCAGAAACTCCAGCAAAAACTACAAGACATATTGTCCTTGTTGATGCGCTAGTATTGGAATACCTTTGCCTATGTCCGCAAGGAGCTACAGAAGCTATGGGATTATGCTGTCGAGTTTTATACTCTGAAATGGGGGACGAACGTCAGTGACATCTTAGGTTTTTTAGAGTGCTTGATGTGTTACATAAAGATCATAGCTTTTCTTCAACCTGGGATCGACTACATGGTTACTTCTATGAGATTTGTCGTCTATGCTTGGGTAGATTTGGTTTATCGTCTTTGCAAAGGTTGTTTTTTGGTCCGGTGAAGCTTGCTACACATAGAACTCAACTTTCAACCTTTTAGTGCCAAAAAGTGCACAAGGGAGCCTATTGGAGGTCTTGGTCACCATTGTCCAGCGATAGTATAGTATTCACCGTGTTTCCAATGGGGCTTCATGAATACCCGCTGATGCTTTTTGTGGGATGTTAAATTGGAGATCCTACTCAAATACAATCTGTCACACTCTACTCTGTGGGTGCAGTCTGTAGGAGTAGTTCAGGTTGTTTGCCCAATATCATGGTGGCAAATTTTATGTATTTGGGGATTTATTTCTCTAATCCTTGTACTTGGTTTCTAATGTTTTAATATATATGAATTTTCAAAAAATAAGGAACTGAATACTGAGCGGGCCCTCCATCTGCCTCGTATTTTGCTAGCGTGAAAATAAGAACAGGGCCAGCTTCTCTCTTTCTTCCTTTTTCTATCTATTCCACTTAACCAAATGCTATGTTGAATCGCTATAAGCTAGTTTTTTTTTTTTTTTGAAGCCCGCTATAAGCTAGTTGATGTGTCATTGAAGTTGTCGTAAGGGTGCGTTGCTGCTGCACCCATGAGAAAGCCCGAGCGATGCTGCTGCGCCATGGATGTGCTCTGCTTTGGGAGATGAAACGACGAAGAGAGGAAAAGAGTATGACATTTGGCCCCACTTGACAGTTGCTAACAAACACAACAGTCCTCCATCCTGTCCTTCATCCTTCAAACCAAACATAAAACAAGAACGATCCTTCAAACCAAACATAAAACAAGAACGATCTTGTCAAACTAGGACCATCCCAACCTAGAAAACGGGGATAAGACCATTCCATCCGTTTCATCCCAAAACCAAACACAACCTAACATTGAAAAGAAATTTATCGACAACATGTGTACTCGCAGGGTGTTAGCAAAATATAGTTACGAAAAACAAACTGTAATCTCAAATTACTTGTGGATCGTTAGCAAAAAAAAAAAAATTACGAAAAACAAACTGTAAGATCAAATCACTTGTGGCTCGTTATGGACTTCCTCGCTTGCTTCCATTTGAAGGTAAATTGTTTTGGTGAAAGTGCAACAATTTGTGAAAAGCGCACCAACACACTGCCATCTAAAGCGCTGAACACAGCATTCACAATCCAGCTTCTGACACGCATTCGAACACCAAAGGATCGGAGTAAGCTCAACTTATCTCCAGTAAATAAAGCTTCCTACTACTTCATCTTTTTAAAAGATATACCAGCTGTGCAGATACAGTCATGCTGGTGTTTATATATCTCAATACGATCTGCCGCAAGTTCTGAACCCCCCAGAGGATTCTACTCATTCGAGCCGTTCCATCTGTCGAAGGAGAAAGTGGTCAGTATCATCCAGGTTGAACTCAGAACCTAAATACATTACATTCAGCCCTTCCTTTACTCCATGATCTCAATCCAACACAAACATTTGCCGGTTAAGGCTTACTTCTTAATTCAAGAGCATAATTGCAATGTACTATTTACAACATCATCCAAGTATTCATTATTTGCAATTTGAGAAGACGGTGAGGTAGACAGGGAAACACAAGTACCTTCCATAGGCCATCATTTAGATAGTGCATATTGTCAACGCCAATTCCTTTGTTAATGGTCCTTCTACAGAAATAATCAGATCATTGCCAACAGAAGACATGTTAGTAGCTAGGATTATGTCAGATGCAATATTAAGGAAAGCTAAAATCACAAAGAAACTATCAAAAGTGAAGATCAACCACTTCAAACCATTAGAGGCAAACATTGGACACTCAAAAACAGAGTGAGGCAACGAGCATGAGTGTGCTTGGAATATTACTTCCAGACTGAGAAGTGTCAGTATTGATCAATACTTCAGAGTGAAACTTACATGTCTTTTGCTGACATCTTTGTATATCCAATTGCCAGTGCGTGTTGTTTGCCTTCAGCCATTATAGCCTGGAAAAACATAGTTAAACAGAGAAGATGAGAGTCACAGCAGGCATGTTCAAGGGCAGAACAAGCTTGGTAAGAAATTATCATGAACTTGTCATGTATGGCCGGACCTATACCAGGAGGCGCCGGGCCCGTGACATCAGGCGCGCGACTGAGCGCGCCCAGCGCGTCACGGACGCGGCCCAGGGGTTGGCCGAGCCTTCTAGTGGCTAATATAGGCAATAGTTGTTAGTATCCCTAAGATTGAGGAGGGATTAGTTACTATTTTTATTCCATCAAGGATTATATATTTCCCCTTGTAACCGGCACCTTGGAGAATAAGAAAGATATAAACCAATCTGTCTTCTTCCTCCCAACTCTCAAGCCTAGGTCGCTGAGGGGTATAACCTCGCCCTAGAAGGCGGATCGCGGCTACGAATTACGTAGCCGAGGTCCAGCTACTCAAGGGTTTGACGCCCTTGACAGAACTATGGTGCATAAATCAACCATACAGATGCAATGCAGAATATTTCAATATGGACAGTTTAAAAGTTTATACCCTTCATCTGCAGAATGCAGAAGCACACTAAGGTATACTATTTTTTTTGTTGCAGACTACCTACTGAAGTAGATATTAAACATTCAGTATCAGTAACATATGAACTAGAAATTTAGCATAAGCCATTTACCACTGGTGTTTCCTCCTCAACTTCATCATCCAAGGCACCACCAGGTGATGTCAACCCAGGACACATTATGTTTGCACCAGATAGAACAAATTTGATAGCACCTCTATCCACTTGGAACTTTTTCATGATATCAGGATCTGATCAAATGCAAGCACAGTTTTCATACCAGTTAATATTCTCCAACAAATCAATTGTAACAATGACAGAGGCCAAACAGAAATGCATGACAAACTAAAAAAGGATGATCCCTAAAATTTGTTTCACACATCATGCTATACATCTTGTGTGCATAGATGACATGCCAGAAAATTTGGAAGAAAATTACACTGATGAAGAAGACGCAGGGTTGGCATGTAAGGACCATCACGGATGTTGAAAAATAGAGGGACATTATTCACCACTACAAGATTCAGATGATTTTGGCTGCAGGAATAAAGAAATAAACTGCTATCAGTGCACTTCAAAGGCCACACAAGTACTTTTGATATATTTAATATTATTTCATCAAAAAGTACAAGTACATTTACTTATTCTTCACTTGGCAGAATAGTTAAGAAAAAATGTCAAATACAATTTCAGGTAAGCAATATTATGTACAAAAAAACATAGTGTATAGTTAGCAAGCATGCTGAACAAGAAAGAAAAACTACTAACCATTTAACAACAATCATAGGTGACTTCTTTGGGAGCAAGTCATCTAGCAAAGGTTCAAGTCTGGGGTACTGCAATGTAGTTAATTTGGTAAGCTAGACAGAAGATTATGTAACTGAAAGGAAAAGGAAATAGAGGTCCAAGCAGATTCTTTGTAATAACAAAACCTCATCAGCGATACTTTGTCGAATCTTCCGTTGTACAGAGGCCTTAACTTGATTCTGTCCAGATATATCTTCTGAAGAGAACCTGGAGGTGTAATAACAAGATTAAAAGAGTAGTCTGTGTTAAAACTGCCAAAGATCGGCAACAAAAGATAGAAAAGCCTTGCATAGAGTATAACTTTGCAGTCCATGAACCATTTTGTGTCTGATAATACATACAGTCATAAGGTAATCAACAATGTTTTATATCATGATGTTAGACTATAACAAATTACGTGTATAATTTCCAGCTTAAGATCACTACTTATGGGTCAACCAATAATAATGTCATATCTACTGATTATTCTTGATGGAAACTTCCACCATTCAAGCGACCATCATCAATGTCATATGCTTGCAACAATCAGAATGAAATTTAGTATAAAGCACAGGAGGCACAAGTCAGTTACCTCACTTACTCGGTATAATCATATAGTATTAATTAATGGTTCTGGTAAAATATAAAGAATCCAGAAGAAAAATGACATTACAACAGCAATTCAGCATTCTCTTGTTCCTGGTCAAACTCAAACACTAATGGGACCACACTTCAGTTAAATTGGTACAGGCACAATTTAACTGAAGTCTTGTCACCAGTGATGTTATAAAACATGACATACTACAAGTATCCAAATTCATAATAGAGAGGTTAGGCTAAATGATTCCTGTACCAATCCTAAAAGGTGTGCAAACAAAATCTTGGCAAAAATTTTGGCTGCCAAAATTATGATAGGACCGATACAGAAACAAAGCAGGCAAGGCAAGCCCTCACAGTAAAGTTAATAACTTATAGAAATTACAAAATGCACATCTAAAATATCGCAGACAAGATTCTCGACGAAGTATGTAATTCAGTGAAGCTATTGCACTAATAAATACACTTAAAATCATCTTGAAAAGTAAAGAACTACTTAGTTCAAGGGTTTGAAAAGACAAACAACTGTAGTGCAGTGTCCTTTGAAAAGTTTCGCTCCATTTATGATATTGAAACATGGCGGTATGAATCTTAAGAGATGCATTGCAACCAAAGCATGAACGCTTTAGCTGGCTCAAATGACGGTACCAAGGGAAAAGAAGCCATGCACTCCAGAGGGATCTGGTGCAAGCAAGTGCAGTAAGAGCTCTCCAGAAATATAAATGTATAGTAGTCCCTCTATGCATGAAATAATTAAAGAAGTGTCATACAATTCATTTCCCATTACTACAATACTACTCTTAAGAAATCATGGAGATCCACCATTTAGTTTTATATAGTTGTATACATAACTTGAACAGAAAATTCTTAGCTTTAGCGAACTGGCCTAACATGCCTTAGATAGAAAACACATGTGCACATATTTATCTCTATATATATACTGCTGCAACTGTACCACCCTAAATAAATTTCTGATAAATAGCAGGTAGCCAGGTACCAAGATAATTCTACAGCAGACAGGAAGTATAAACTATAAACCATATTCACTAAGGTGGTGGTACAAGCATGACCCACTCGTACACGGCACACCTCAACATCCAGAAACTCCAACCACACAACGGCGGCATCTAACCGCAGCCGCACCCTAGAATCATAACGCTCTTTGTCAGCCAGTTGATGCAACATCGAGCAGCTTCAGCACATCGGGACTCATGTATCAAGAACTCCATACCGACCACCATTGCTGTCACATCTTGCTCCCACAAAGCCCCCTACCATGTTTCAGAGAGAAACTAAGCGGCCAAAGGGGTGGTCGTTTTCCACAGATCCCCGATCCCAGCGAAAAGAACAGAGAGAAACACAATCCTGAATTACGCATGGTGGTGCCAGAGTAATTAGCGGCGGCGAAGCGCAACGGAGAACCAGATCGGTGAACGCAGCGGATGGCAACGACAGATCGAATTACTGAGCCCGGGAATCGGAAAGGGGTTACAGGGAAGAAAGATGCGGGAGGGGAGTAGGAGAGTACTCACTTCTTAAACATGGCGCACGCCGCACGTACTTGTCCCTCCCCTTGTTCGGCGTCGGACTGAAGCGGACGGCGGCGGCAGGCGGCAGGCGACAGGGAGAGGAGATATGCGGCAGATGCCGCGCTGTGCTGGAGCCTGGAACTGGAAGGAAGACGCGGCTCCGGGCCTTCTTCCTCTGGGTGCCGGCTGGATTTCCATTGGGCCCAAATGTGCTGAGAGCAGCCCACTCACATTGGATCAGGATCTGTCAACCGATCCAATCGGCCTGTCTGGATACCATGTACGAATGTTTGTTCTGGGACTCCCGAGGCCCATGTTGCTATTATGCTAGAATTTTTTTCCTCTTGAGCGGAACATTTTTCTTTTTATTAGCTAGAACAAAACAGTTGTGTTCATGGGATGATTATGCTTAAAAATCTTTCTGTGATGAAACTATTTTGTGGAAAATATGGTGTTTCGGCTGAACGCTTCATAAGGAAAATCATGTTCTTATCTACTACCACCTAAAAAATACCGAAGGAGATCGTCTGCGACCCCGCCACGGCAAAAAAAAAAAACCGTTTCCCCTAGAAAAACCAACCCAGCAAAAAAAAAAGCGTTCCCCCGGCAAAAAAACAAACGTCCGCCCTGCACGGCAAAAAAAAATCATTTCCCCACGGCAAAAAAAAAACGTTTCCCACGGCAAAAAAAAGTTTCCGAAATAAAAAAATGTTTCCCCCGCAAAAAAACAAACGTCCGCCCCGCCCCCGAAAAAACGGCTTTCCTCGGCAAAAAAAAGTTTCTGAAATAAAAACATATACGACACAAAAAAAAGCCACGGTAACAAAAAAAACAACGTCCCCGATCCGCAAAAAAACCACCGTCCCCGTTTCTGAAAAAAAAATCCTATACAACAAAAAAAAATGTTTCCAAAAAAAACATATACAAAAAAGCGTTCACATATACATATCTATCTCCTACAACTAAAAAGAACAAAGCGTGTACACTTTTTGGTGCGACATTTGTTTCGATCCGTGCGCGCCTCCTCCCCGCGATCACGACGCTCCTCCCAGTGAATCAAATGCGGGCGGCCAGGTGGGACCTCTTCCCATGAGTCGACGCCCCACGCCCGTCCCCTCGCGACTCGAGATCTCCCCGACCGCCACCACCACCATGCGATGGCGAGCCACGCACAACATCATCTGCTATCTTCCTCTGCTCATCCCGGATCTCCGGACTCGGATCTCTGCTCCCGCCCCGCCCCTCTCTTGCAGGACAACCTCCGCCACGAAGACGCTGGCGGCGGCCAAGCGGCGAGATGCTCCGCTTCTGGGTGTTCCGCCGACAACCGACAAAGTTGTGAAGATCCAGCTCCACCCCACTCACCCCCTGGCTCGTCACACGCGCCGCGCCAACGACCGCGTCATTGGGAGCACCGCCAGTACCGCTTGTTTCTAGGGACCCCTGGCTACCTTCTAATTTGATCTCGCGATCTGAGGCGGCTTCAAGCTTTGTTTGGGCTCCATTTGATCTCACGGTGCTTTTGTAATCCGTTAGGTGATCTATGAGCTGAAGGTAGGTGGTGTTGATGAGCGTCGCTTGGTTGGAGCGAAGCTTGAGAAACTCGCTGAGGGAGATGGTATGTGGCTCAGTAGTTCATCTTTCGTTTATTACTGCTGGTTTGGGCATGTGATGTGGTTGTTGTGCATAGTGGTAATGCTATTCACACTGTTGAATTGTGACATATGGTTGTTCATTTGTTAAAATGGGCGTTCATTTACTATCTGGCACAACTTGAATTTGTCTGAGTACTGAAATGCCATTTCTCTGTCCTTGTAGAGCTATGGTATACGTTGCTTGATTTCCTGTAGTAATGTAATCCCATAGTACACTGTATCAATGAAAATTCTTATTCTCATATACTCATCTCTAGAAGGAACAACACCGCAAAATACTTCATTGCTATAGGATATGATTACATTCAATTTGTACTTCATTACTAGCGTATTAAGTATGGGTTTGATATCACCACTAAAGTTTGTGTTTCAAATGTCATTTGCAAAACTTACTTATCTGCAACATGCCAACACCCTATCCTAAATGGCTAAATGTAGCCTAAATCTTGATCCTTGTTGAAGGTAGCTGTACTGTTATTTTTGTCATTCCTGACTTCACATTTTTGCTGTCCCCTTCACTTCTAATATCCATGGTATTTCGTGTTTTGTTTATTTATCCTTTTTTCAAGCCAGATCAGTGGATGTATATTAAGCAAGAGAATTTCCTTGGTGAAAGGTGGGATATTACCGTTTCCCATCCGATACATTTTTCCCTTGTAAAATACCATTAAAGTCCTAGAGCTAAACGTTAAGAAAATATTCAGCATAATATACAAGATGAGTTGCTGACTTCTTTTCAGTGGTCTACATATACCTATGTCTTGTTTCTATTCTTTTTTTCATGATTCCTGATCCCCGACCATGTTAAATCTTAAATGCGCCTGTTGTTAGGATGGGGATGTATGTTCTGTTTGGGTAGCCTGATGTGATCGGTGATTGATGTTGGAGATCCAGGCGTCAGGCAAATTGCACAACAAGGTTAACTAAGGTAATGGCTCTTTGACATTTTTCACTGGGGTGCATGCAGTTGTAGGACCTCTGAATGCGAGTCTTCTTATCGTGCGGGTTTCTTAAACTCCACTTGCATGACCTCTCTGTCGGTGCGGGACCCACAGGATACCCCGCAAGGAAGAGAGAAGATCTAGTCTAACTAGGATTCTCCCCATGTAATCTTAGTAGTAGTATTATTTTGTAATCCTACTATGAACTCTCATTGTAAACCGACTAGGAATCTGACCTCCTGATTATATAAAGGAGGGCAGGGTTCCTAGAGAAGAGAGATAGGGATTTCTACAACACAATCAATCCAACGCAAAGGCTAACGTCGACTGGACGTAGGGCTGTTACTCGACCACAGTCGAGGGCCTGAACCAGGATAAATCGACTGTCTCTTGCGTTCACCGTCGAAGTTCACATGACTGTTGAAGCTCGAACAATCTTTCCAGGACCCCCGTGGCAGGCTATCGATGGTGAAACATCGACAGCTGGCACGCCAGGTAGGGGCTTTCGGCGAATTTGCATCCGAGAGCTCGATGGACCTCAATAACATGATCTTCTCAACGGGATCAACTTTCATCTTCGGCTCATGGATCTGCGAGGCGAACAACAATGGCAAGCTCCAAAGTCGTCTCCTCGAAGATTCGAAACACCATGAAGACTATTCTGTTCCGACGACCACGACAGATCAAATCTCCGGAAGATTCGCGCGACTCATAGTGCCCGATTCAACTCGGGTTCCGCACTTTTGCATCCGACTTCAATTCGAGATCCGATCCGAGTTGGAGTCTTATCCGAGTCCTTTCGGAAACCGAGTTCTTTTCCAATGGGACTTAAGAACGCGGCCCTGACCTATCAAGAATACAACTCGGAGTACGCGTAGAACCCCTTCAAGAAGTCGATCTTCCTCCACTCGGACTCCTCAACATGGCAACATCTTATCGAGCACGGCTCGGAGAAGTCCTCGATCCAAGATTACTAAGAATGCCACCGAAGGGAGCTCAAGAAGGCCTCGTCCCGATCAGAACATCTCAAGATCGCATCGTTCATTGGCCGGACTCATTCACGAGGATAACAATGCCCAATCGGACAACACGACGACGACGGCTATTCTACCTTACCAAGAAGGAGACTCGATCTCGACATCGAGGCATCTACTAAAGTCATCAACAACTCCGACGATGAAAACTAACGCCAATAATGTAGCGGCTCACGCGACGGAAGTATTCATGGTTCGACGCCCTCGGTCACCATTAAATCCCCGTAGCAGCACCGATGTCGGTCATCAAATGAATCGAGAATCCAACATATCACCTTTTGCCCAGGGGCTACGATGGAGAAACCGAGAGTCGAAACAAGCTAGAAAAAGAAAAAACAAGTTGAAGCAAGGGCGCCAACACCGTGCTAAGCGTAGCAGGAAAGCTGGATCGACATGAGTCGAGTTGGCGAATCTGACGTAAGAAAATCACAACGAGAAGTCGAAGGAAGACGACGGCAAATACACCTTACGATAAGATTCGAGAAGCATTAGAAGAACTTCGAGCAACTTCACACCCCTGTGAGAAGTATGAACAGCTCGAGACTTGCTCCGGCCGACGATCCCGAGAACGCATGAAGAGAGAGCCCAATCAAGACTACCCGCCGGATCAACAACCCACAGCAAAAAAAGATCAAAATCAAAGGAAGTCCTTTGAAAGACTTGGGCGGTGGAAGTCATAACGGAGAAAGTAGGAAGGATCATAATCAAGGCCACCGATTTGAACAACCAAGAAAGACCGTGAGTAGGGCGCCTACCAGACATGACCTCGCAATTATTCCCATCAAAACAACAGTTGGCGGAAGGAGGTGCCAAATCGTAATTCAAAGAAGCCGGAACGCATGCACAGATTCCCTGTTTCGCGAACAAAGCTTGCATCAATACGATTACCTCACAAGTTCAAACCGTCTAACCACTCTAAGTATGATGGCAAAAAACCGAACCAAGGCAATGGCTTAGAATATATTCACAATCAATTGAACTAGCCGGAGGAGACGACACGATATCAAGACCTGTTCTTTCCCCATGGCACCGGAAGCCATGCCCTCCAATGGTTCGACAAATTAAATCCGGGATCTATCGAA